ACATACACACACACACACACACACACACACACACACACACACACACACACACACACACACACACACAGAGAGAGAGAGAGAGAGAGAGAAGAGGATTGAGGTGGTGTTGAACGATCGGTTGGGGAAGAAGGTGCGTGTGAAATCCAATGAGGATGACACGATTGGAGACTTGAAGAAGCTAGTTGCGGCGCAAACGGGAACGCGGCCTGAGAAGATTAGGGTACAGAAATGGTACACGATCTACGAGGATCACATAACTCTGACGGACTAGGAAATCGACGACGACATGGGTCTGGAATTGTACTATAATTAACCAACGGACTGATTAATATCCCACCGTTCAGCCATGCGTCAATCAATCCGACAACCCACAAGTTCATCGACAGGGCATGATTCTTGTAAAGATATGTTGCGTGAAGGAGAAGCATTATGAGGAGTTGCACGACTTAATGAGCGATGGACGTGAACACGTGTTTAGCGAACGGCCACGTGTCGGCTATGGATTGGAACTGTCGCTGCTTTTTTATAATATTACGTATGGCTCAGACAGTACTGTCAGAGTTTGTTCCATCCATGTACTGCCACGTGTCGCGGCCCTGGCTCAAGGGAAGATGCCCATCACCTGGTGATGCGGGCAATGGTGGCGGCTTTGTGTGACAAGAGAGAGGAGAAGAGAGAAAGAGGATCAGCTATGGATTCGAACTGTCGCCTGCCTTTTGTATTAACGTATTACGGAACGGAACGAAAGGGTATCTAAGCGGAAGACAATACCCATCTGGCGCTCACGTCTGAAGATACTATGTCTCGATGATGATGACTGATATGACTGATAGTCACGCAATTGGGCGATGAAGGCGATGACAGAGCATCTGACGGCGGAGATGGTGACAATCGGGCGATGGCGGCGTTGATGGCGATGATGACCGTCGCACAACAGGGCGACGGCGGCGATGGTGACAGTCACACAACTTGGCGATGAAGGGGATGATGACCCATGGTTTCTGCGATGACGATCGTCACACAATCGGACGACGGCGGCGATGGCTGTGCTGGTGACCATCACAATATCGGGCGATGGCAGGGAGTTAGACAAAATTAGACCTTGAAAAGTCAAAGTCATTTTAACTTCTGAATTTAGCTTCGTATTTTGTCTTTTTCAGGGTCCAACTTTTTTGACGCTTTGGCTTAGTTCAAATATGGAACACCTCCCTTTCTAAAGGAAGTGATGCCCAATTTTTTGCTAATTAAGGGAGTTAGACAAAATCAAACCTTGAAAAGTCAAAGTCATTTTAAATTTTGAATTTAACTTTGTATAAATTTTGGAATAACACTTTTTCTACGGGAAGCGCTGCCGAAATTTCTACAAATCTAAAGAGTTAGTTAAATTTTGTCTTAGTTGAACTCATGTCTTGTTTTCTAAGTTCATATCTGACTTAGTATAAATCCGGGAAGTCTCCCTTTCTAAAGGGATTGCTGCCCAATTTTTTGCTTATCAGGGAGTTATACAAAATTTGACTTTAAAAGGTTGGAGATTATTTTTGCTTTCATATGTAGGCTGATATAAATTCTGAAAGGGCACTTCTCTTACGGGAAGCGGTGCCGAAATTTTCTTAGTTTAGAGGAGTTAGATTATATTTTGATAGGTAACAATTCTGAAAAATTCACTCTGTATAGAGGAGATTCTGTCAGGGTCTACCTTTCTTTTGACACTTGCTTAGAGGTAGACTTCGGCTTAGTTAATTAGGATGGTTTGAGTGAGATCATGATAAGGGAATTATTTTCCATTGACTTATAGATTTAGCTTGGGAATTGACCTGTCTTGTGTTACATGTCCTCTTGATCGATTGATTCAGGACTTGGGCTAGATTCAACTTGATCCTACAAGGATCACCTTCTGTTATCACTGATAACAGGTCGGTTGCCGATTCTTCGGTTTACGACCTAACTTCAATTAATCCTCAATACTCAACCTAAAAGGCTTTAGCCCTGATGTTTTTATTGTTTTATTAAGGTTTCACCCAAGCTTTTATTGAATGACCATTTAACAAAGGTACTGAGTATTTAAGTATGGTTGGTTTGACAGAGGCTGGGGCTTGCATGGCTAAAGCGAGGGGTATGAGTATAGAGATTGGTTGGAGTTGACTCCGTGTAGTGCGTGAACTCTTGCTTGACTCTTTGATGTGATTGCAGGTATGTTCTGTGGTTCGGATTTTGGATTGCACTGCCTGCGATCACACATATATATATGGCTGTGAGGAGTCTCACTGTGATTGTAAGAAGGGATTGTCACATACTTATTCCCCTTTATATATATATATATATGTGTGTGTGTGTGTGTGTACCTATGCTGGATGTTCGCGTGGTCTGATGGGCCCGCGTACTACGGATTTAATTAGGGGTTGAGATGGAGAAAAGAAGGACGACCCGTCTATTTGTTTGTATGCTTCTTGAAGAATTCTTAGTCGGGCGTTGGTCATGGACCTGGATTCAAGGTCCTTGTCCAGGACATCCCAGACCCTAAACTCTGCATGGAAGGGATTACCCCTCAGGCAAAGCCTATTTGCCTTGCCTGCCGGGACACTCAGCCAAAGGCCGGAGGTCTCGCGACGGTCGCATGGCTATTCCTTCAGCCGTGCAATATCGTGAGGGAGTAGGCCCTCACGATACTTCGAGTCTGACACTTGAGTGTCATAAGCGTACTCGGATCCACGAGGAACCGCTTGATTATGGGCACTACATAGTACGCCATCATTGCGACTGCTTGCTACGCTTGCATTGCGAGTGAATATGAGTTAGTCCTGCGTCCGCGCAATTTTATACTAAGTCTCGCGCGCAACGTCTATCTGATTTTCGCATCGGAAAGTTATGGGACGGCTATCGAGGGACTCGGAGCGTGGTCGCGTTGCTTGTTTGTGTCGCTTCGTGTATTTTTACTTTTTATGTTCTTTATAGTGATGTGCGCGTGGTATGTGGGATGCGTCCTAGTCGACCGACGATGGGTCGCGCTTGGGACTTCAGCCCCCGAAAATGTTGGTTCGCATGCGGGTTCAATAGAGGTGTATTACCACGCGTACCCCCTATGCTACAGCGAACGAGAAACATCCTCGGATCGTCCACCTCTGCGATTGCAATTGATTAACTTTCGTACTGTGGACTGATCTCTCGGCGGGGATACGCCCACCGAAGGGAGGTGACAACTCCCGTAAGGTGGAGGTAAGCCAAGCCTCGTGTAGGCCCTATCCTGTCGTACGGGGTCGCGAGAGGTATGGTTGGCACACTCGACCGGAGCGGCTTGCGGAAGCTCCATGTATATTCGCGACGAAGGAACAAAACAACTCCTGCGTGACGCGGCCAGGAGGGTCCCGCGCTGCCTCGTGCGGTGCCAGACCAATGCGCTCGACAGGTGGCGCCATTGTTTGGGATAACGGAAGCCTACTGTTGTCCCTGGTGGAAGGACATCCGGGTATAAGATTGAGGAAGAAAATGGCACATAAGGAAAGACAAAGTATATAATGTCTTGTCAGGTTATCTGTGATAAAATAGCCGTTATAATAAGTTATATCTCTAATCTGATTGATTGTTTAGGCTAGAAAGTCATGAGGGAGACCCTATAGGGAGAAGTGAAGATTATTAAAATAAGTTATATGGGAATGGAAGTAGGGTAGGACCTGTTAGGCCTAGGCCATGGATTAGTTATAGTAGAGATCTGATGTGGAATGTGATAGGATCGGACTGATGAATGAGGTGGTGTGTCTTTCTTAAAACAGGGAAAGCCAAGTAAAGACAGTCCGCAAAAATGCAAGGCCCTATAGCAGATGGCGATGGGAAGGTCATGACGCTCGAGGACCTCATTGAGGCAATGGATAAGCGAAAAAGGACGCCAAGTAACGTCCCCAAGGTCAATACTTTCCATGTTAATGGGGAACGAGTTTCTGATTGGTTGGACTTGGTGGAGCAAGCCTTGGTGGGGTTATTGGATACGGTGAAGTTCCAGCGCATTTTGAAGTATGTGCTTCATGTCCACCATCAGGAGGTGGAGAAAGTTATAAATGTGGGCAATGGTAGTTGGGCCATGTTTAAAGATGGGATGCAGAGAAGTATAGGCTAGGCGATTGACTGTTAACCACGACGGATTTGGAAGCCATGAACAGAGACAACTTCACCACGGTGGGGGCGCTCGTGCAGGAGTTTAAGAAGAAGGCAAAAAAGGTTCATGACATTTCAGAGGAGGCACAATGCACTATATTTTTGGGACTATTTACCGCCTCGGAGGCTGCGGAACTGACGAGCCATGGAGGAAGAAGTGAGAAACTTACCTGTGCCACTATTGATAAAGGTGTGGCAGAGGGAAGTCTGGACGAGGTGGAACAATATCAGATGCGCCTGCAAAGGCGTAAGAGGAAGGAGAGGGATGCCACAACGTCTGGAACCCCAGGAGTAAGACGGATCGTCACTGATGTACTGGCAGAACTGGGTTATGGAAAGGATGTGGTAATACAGAAGAAGGTAGTGACGGCGATCCAGGGAAAAGGAAAGGATCAAGTGGTGGAGGAAGTCGTCCAAGAGGAGTGGAAAGAGGAGGAGCCGGTGCCCCAACACCTCTCGAAGGCGCTACGCAAACAGGTGTCAACGCAATTTGACGCAGGGGGGGCAAGGCTTAGGGAAGGGGCAGACGCCCCAAACAGTGGTGGTCGCACCGCCAAGCGCGTCGGCTCCATCAAGTAGTGCGGGACCCTCGCAAGTGCCGATACCACCATTCGGGCTACCACCATTCGGGCAGTTTGCCATGACCTATGTACAATACCTTTGTACCATGGGGAAGTCTGACTTCGCCTGGGCAGATGGTACCATACGTTGGGCCCCAAACAAGTATGCCACCTCCAAGTTATCCCGCCGTCTAGGCCCAACCCATGGCGTCGTCTCCGTCGCCCGCACCTAGCTCACAAGATAGTGTGGCGGGTGGAGGTAATCAAGGTCACGGTAATCAGGGGAATGGAGGACGAGGCGATGGAAGAGGACGTGGCAGAAATGGCGGTGGCCGAGGAGGTCAATGGGACAACCAAGGTTACCAAGGTCAAGGAAATCAAGGTAATAAAGGGAGCTAGGGGAGCGGGAGAATCCGTTTTGATTGGAGAACCGCCATATGCCAGCCTTGTGACAAACAGGGTCATACCATACAGTTCTGCAATACTAGGCGGGAAGATGAAAGACTGGGACTGATCTACTCCAATATGGACGGTGACATATACGATCAGTTCGAGGAATACATTGACAGGAAAGTCCCTGGCGGAGTGAGAGTGGAAGCCCAAAGAAGGGTAGCTGCACGGCAAGCGCCGCCTGCCACATTCAGATTATGGCAGGAGAAAGAGGATCCACCGATTAGGGTGGAGGAAGTGGGAAGTGATGAGGAGGTGACTCGGAGGCTACGGGCAGGAGATATAAGGGAAGAACCCATAGTCGTTGAGTCAGAGGAGAAAAATGAGGAAGAAAAAGTGGAACCCGCATCAATCCTGTTTGGAAAGATGGAAAACCTGTTGGGAAAGGTGGGGAGATACCAACAGAAGTTGGTGGACCTTTGCGAATAAGTGAAAGAATGGAGGGCTAGCATCCCCAAGGTTTTTCTCTACGAGTCCGGCCCAGCATCAATGCCAGGGCGACCCAGGGTAACCACCGTGGGATCACGCCCGCGGTCGGGGATGATGACTGGACCCCCTACGGCGCAAGGAAGACTGACACAGGCAGCTCGTACCCGAGGCCAAGCCAAGGCTAGTGCAAGCAAGGAGCCTCTACGAAAAGAGCCAGAGCCAGAGAAGAGGAAGGAAGCCGCGGAGGTAGAAGATAATGACGAGGAGGAAGAAGAGGACGAAAGGTTGCGCCAAGAGGAAGACCAGAGGGCGGAGCAAAGGGTCAGGAAAAGAGAACCTCGAGAGGAACCCGAGCCGATTCTGCGCGATGTGCCGCCAAAGAAGAAGAAGTATGAGGCTCGGCTGGAGGAGGGGTTCGACGTAGAGAGGGTGATTGATAGGTTGTTGGAAGGCCATAACGACCTCATAACCCTAAAAGAGATTTTGACGTGGGCTCCTAAGCTCCGGGATAGACTGAAGGGGAGATTGTCGTGGCGGCTGGTGCCCAGCGTCCACCTGAGTATGATTCTGCGGAAAGAGGCGGAGTGGGCAGAGACAGGGACAAAGATGGACTGAAAGTGTATAGCCTGTGGCATAGTGGATTTGGTGGTAAGAGGCTCCAAGTGCGCAACGATGGTGGATACGGGAGCGGAAATGAATATCATCCGCGAAGCTGATGCGCTTAGATTTGGATTAGAGATAGACCGCTCTGATTGTGGCATCCTACACGGGGCGAACTGCAATGCAGTGTTTTGTGGGACAACCTCGAACATACTTATCAAGGTTGGGAGAGTAAAAGTCAGGGCATGCTTCTTTGTCATGCCAGATGTGGACCATGGTATCCTCCAGGGGAGGTCGTTCCTATGCAGAATAGAAACGTTGATGCTCAATAAACATGACGGAGCTCTGATCCTGATTATGTATGATCTGGCGTGAGCGAATTATGAAGTAATCACCTGCCGGAACACCGGTCCACGAAGTCTAAGGAACCAACCTAATCCTGGATCGTTTACGATTGAAGAATCTGAGGAGGAGCGTCGAAGGCTCGTTATGGAGCCAGAGGAGGAAGAAAGGGGTGAGGCGTTTTCCCTCAGCCTATCAGACGTAAAGAAGGTCATGGATATAGTGGTCACGCATGAGATGGCGGATCCAGACGCCATCCAGGCGTTAAGGGAGCAAGTCTTGGAGTGTCCCCAGGCTGGGGAGTTGGAATTGGTATATCGGTTTCCAGGTGGGAGGAGGAACCCGACGTCAATGCAAGCACAAGTTGTAAGCCGGCCTTTTTTAGGGGACGGCTCAAGCAGGGTTCCCAAAGGCGGTACAAGACGATAAACAAAAAGTGCCGCCCAGTTTCTGTCCTCGTTACCGAAGATGAGGAGGTATACTACGAGCGGGAGCGAGGGTTGATACGGCAGATGAAAGAGAACGTCATAGCAAGGTCATGCCGCATCAACGAAGGGAACGAAGGGAAGTTGATAATAGGGGAGACTGACTTCCTACGGGCCCAGGAACGAGCGTTAATGATAGAACTAATGAAGAAGAGGCATCGTGCCTATGCGTTTAGCGATGAGGAGCGCGCCAGGTTAGATGCGGACAAGATTCATATGATCCGCATTCATACAGCGCCGCATGAGCCATGAAACTTGAGAGGGGCGCGATATCCTAATACTGACGAAAAGAAAAAGGTGGAAGATTACCTTGACGGCAAGATACGTACGCATGTCGCCGATTATTCAAGTGGGCCATATGCATCCTCATGGTTTTGTTTCATTAAACCTAATGGAACACTGCGATGGGTGCAAGATCTGCAACGACTGAATGCGGTAACTGTGCGAGATGCGGGAGGATTGCGAAATGCGATGCGCTGTCAGAATCCTGTGCTGGGAGGCCTATAATTTCACTCATAAACCTTTACTCTGGATATGACCAGTTTCTGGTCTATCCGCCAGACAGGCCAGTAACGACAATGCATACGCCTCGAGGGCTGATCCATATGAATGTGGCTCCACAAGGGTGGACCAACGCGGTCGTAATGGTTCAGCGGGTCATGATTCGGGCCATGCAGTCAGTCAGCCTACATATCACACAGCCATATATTGACGACTTGGCAGTGAAGGGGCCAACGGTGAAGGAGAACGACGAAGTCCTTCCAAGAGTGAGGCACTTTGTCTTGAGACATATTCATGACCTTGAGAAAGTCCTGAATCTGCTTGAAGAGCATAACCTCACTGCAAGTGGGGCCAAATCCAGACACTGCATGAGGGAAGCTACCATCTTGGTGTTTGTCTATAATTAGAAAGACGGTCGACCGGATGTAAAGAAGACGGACAAGATTATTGAGTGGCCCGTACCATTCCACTCAATAACTGATGTTAGAAGCTTCCTCGACACGTGTGGGTTTTGGAGGACCTTCGTCAAGAATTTCGCCGAGACTGAGCACTTGAGAAAGTTGGTTCGTCAGGATCAGGAGTGGGATTGGGGAGAAGAGCAGGAGAGAGTGGAGGCAGAAATGAAGGAAGAGTTCCGAGAAGGGGGATTGGTATTGGGAGCGTCGGACTATGAGGCCACAGAGACAAGACCATTCATTGTTGAAACGGATGCTGGACCGACTACCTTGGGTGGAGTTTTGATTCAGGTAGATACAAAAGGGAAGGAGAGGTCGCTGCAATTTGAGAGCCGAACTCTCTATACGACTGAGAGAAATTACTCTCAGTTCAACAGAGAGACTCTCGTCGTCCTTCACTGTTTGCGACTCTTTCGAAACTATATCTTTGGCAGAAGGTTAATATTGAGAGTGGACCCGACTGCACTAGCTTATTCCCTGAGGAATTACGTTCCATCGGATCCGACTGTTGCCAGATGGCCGACGTACATCAGGATGTTTCATTTTGAGCTGGAACGGATTCCTAGAAACAAGAACAGGGCGGACGGGTTGAGCCGTATCAACTGGGATAAGCAAGAGGGGGAGGCAGTAGAGAACACGCCCCCAGTTAATGGCTTCCTGGATTAGGAAGATGACATCTGCCTTCACATTAATAAGTGGTCCCCGCGGGTGCCTATCTGCGTTGGTCATCCCATCTGGCATGCGCCAAACGAGTATGAACAAAAAGCAGAGTTGGTGCTTAAGCCTTTCGAAGAGGAAGATCCATGGGGCAGTAAAGATGTCAAGTGGATGATGAAATTGGCGCTGGCAGGCACGCATAGTCTGGTGGAGGAGGTGAGAACAATAGAGGAAGGACCATATCGGGTAGAGAAGCACGAGGATTTGATGGGAGGGATGTATCTCCTCGTCAATACGCTTCTGCAGGGAAATTTTGATCAGATAGCCTCGTTGAATCCGGCTGAGAAAGAGGATGTGGTGCCAGAGAGCCAGGATGACGAGTTTGAGGAGGGGGAGATCAAAGAGGCATTCCGGATGGAGGAGTATGATGAAATCTACCTGGAACTGGGACTTCTCCTATCGTGCGAAATGCGCGATAGGGATGCAAACGAAAGGGCCCAAAAGATGAGGCATCGCTATTTGGTAAGAGATGATCATCTTTTTGTAAAGAGGCAAGTGGGAAATCCCAGGAGAGTCGTATGTGGCAGGAACCGTCAGATTGATGTTATAGTTGTGCTTCATGATGGCATTGCGGGAGGACACCGAGGAGTTAGTACCACATATGCCAAGATAAGCGAGCTATATTATTGGGATGGGATGATGGAGATGGTTAGTAAGTTATGCCGTTTCTGCGTACCTTGTCAAAAACGATCTCCCTTGAGGCCGGGAGAGCCACTACATCTAAGGCTGGAAAGGGAAGTAGGGGCCGTAGTACATCTCGACTTACTCTTCATGCCACTTGGCGATCATGGCTACAACTACATCTTCGATGCGCGCGATAACCTTTCTGGTTTTGTAGACATAAGATGAGGTAGCAGAAGATGACATGGCAGCAGATGACGTAGCAGCAAATGGCTTGGCAACAATTGGCTTGGTGGCAATTGGTTTGACAGCAAATGGCTTCGCGGCAAATGGCTTTGTAGCAAATGGATCGGCAGTAGATGACATGGCATATGACGTGGCAACGGATACAGCGGATGTTCAAGACAACATCACAGAGGGCCACCCCTAGTTGACCATCCCTTTAACACCACCATCGTCCCTGAGTTGACCAAGAACCTGCCGCCCTAGACTAACTTCCCCCGCCAAGGAGGTGACGGACGTGTCCGACAATTTCTATTTCAGAGGTCGCTTGTTCGATTCTTGCAAGTTGTCGATCTTATGTCCTTCCGCTTCACAAGATCGAAGTATAATCACCGTACAAGTGGAAGGACACAAGATCGAAGAGGGAGAGTGGGCATGTTGATCATGTTCTGACTAGTCTTTGATCTTGTGTCCTTCCAGACCACGTGGGCGATGGTGACCTCCTCTCTCTCTCTCTCTCTCTCTCTCTCTCTCTCTCTCTCTCTCTCTCTCTCTCGCTCTCGCTCGCTCGCTCGCTCTCGATTTATAAAAGTTCTGAAATGTACGGTCATGATGGTCGTGTCTACGATGACACTCATTGTAGATACGACCATCATGACCGTACGTTTCAGAACTTTAATAAATCGAGAGCGAGTGAGCAAGAGAGAGAGAGAGAGAGAGAGAGAGAGAGAGAGAAGAGAGAGAGAGAGAGAGAGAGAGAGAGAGAGAGAGAGG